TTCCCTACAAGAAAGGGACTATTATCAAGCTGAGGCCAAAATAGAAGTGGCTTGCTGTGTGTGGTTTAATGGGAATGTGAGGACACTTCCCAGAATAAGATTGTGCAGTGATAGAGTGAGTGCTGAGCCCGTTGCTAAGACTGCAGCATGTTTGTTGTCTTTTGGGAAAGATACCAAGGATTGCAGATATGTCAGTAAAGAGTGGCTTCAGAGCTTTTCAATGCTTTGTATGAGGCTGGATCCAGAAAAGCAAGAGCCATCTCACAAGCTTTTGGTTTCCAGCCACCCTGTCTAGCATGCAACTGTCAGGTGGATAATCTAGTTTATAGAAATATCCCGAGGAATTGCATTTCCTATATCTCTAGATATCTTTATACCAAATAGACACTGGCAGCATCCAACCAACCTGCTGCCTTCTGTGGACCCACCTCTCAGGTTGGAAAGGGAGAGTTGCTTTTACCATGTTTTTAACACACACGAGATTTATTTCCCAACAACCTGAAGGAAGTTGTTCTGGACAAAACTGTGCTAACAGCTGAACCCTGCAGAAAAAATGCAACCAGCTCCACAGCTTAAGTGATCCTAAGTACAATTTCAGCCAGAAATTAATTATCCTCTAACAACCAGTTTATTTAGCCTGATGCTTTTGGGAGATGAGGACAGGCTCTGAGCTGTGTCCGTCCCATGCAGAGACATAACAGGTCCTGGTCCTGCCTGGAAAAGGGCCCTTGTTAAAGGGCTGTCTCTGGGGTCAGGCAGCCTTTCCATCACCTTCAACAGCCTTAGGCAGCAGGATTGCCGCAAAATATGTCCTGGGAAAGTGCAATACCAGACCTCTGCAAGTCCTCTCTGAGGCCCAGGCACTGCTCACTCAGCACAGAGATTGTCTCAGCTCCTGAGACACGAAGTTACCTGCCACAGGGCTGGGGAAAATAAATCCCTGAACTTATAAACACTTAGCTCTGCTCTCTGGCAGGTGATGCTTCCTCTATGGCCAAAATGTCTCCTTTAAAGCTCTCACATTAATACTGCCTGTGTGCTGTCTCCTGAGACTGAAACATCTTTGGCTTTTCAACTGTTGTAACTCTGCCTTGTTTTACTGTTCAGGAACCTACAACGGTTACGAGCAGTGATCTGAACTCTGCACCCGAGCAAAAACACCAGGGAAAGTAACCTAATAAGGCTGAGAAGTAAGCTCATTCTGGTCCTTTCTGAGACCAAAAGAAATGTAGTATGGAAAAGAACCAGTGATTTATCTGCTTTTTAGCCATGACTGCCCTTGCTTTTTGGTTGGTTGTTATGGAAATGCCAGCAGTGCCAGTGAATACTTGCCCAGCTCTTGCCCAAGCAAGCTCCCAGCACCTCCCCCTGGACCACAGAAGACCACCCCATAGTGCTGGCATCCAAAGGGCTACACATCCTACAGCTCTGTGAAGAAGCTGTCTTTGTCCTGGGAGGGGAAATGGGCTGGAAACAGCACCACGAGGATTTATTACGTCCACCTCACTAAGTGCCTGCTGTGCTCCCTGAGGACACTGCATCCCAACCACAGGCTGGGCTGGGCAGCCCTGCCCTGAGCTTGCTGCAAGATTGAAATTTGCCTTTTGAAGCCAACCATCCACACAGACTGTGTCTCCAGGGTGAGGCCGGGAAAGTTGTGTCAACACAGGATGCCTTCTCTGGATAAAACTTAACAGTCTATCCCAAACTTACTCCCATATACCCATCCTGGGCAAAGAAATCTCCAGCATCCCCTGCATGCAGGGCTGCAACCTGTCTCTGTGCCTTTCCTCACTCTACGTTGTTGAGGCAAGTGCCTATAGCACTTGTGAGGTGCTCTGAACTTCCTTCTGGTGCTCATGTGAAAAATTAACCCAATCAGCACTGGGGAGAGACTGGGATATTTATCTCTCTAGAGTAGTCCTGATTTATGGTCCCCCCCAAAAAGGCTGCACTCAAAAAAGCCAGAGCTTTGCTGTAACCCCAAAGCACCGTCAGGGAAGATCCAGCTCAGGGACATTTTTTTCAGCCATCACCATCCCGAGCTGCACCTTTTCCTGTGGATCCCACTCCCTCTAGTGGTCCCTCTCCGGCAGCTGAAATACGTGCTCGGAGGTGGCTTGTGTTTCTGCCTGTGGTGTTCTCTTTATAGGTGATAAATACAGCAAAACCTCATGCCTTGTGTTGTCCTGCTCGGGATGTAAGTGTTTCAGAGGCATCAAAGAGGGAACAGGAGCATCTTCGTGCTCTGGAAAGCAAGAAGTGTAACGCTGGGGCTGCGTAGGAGCACACAGGGAGAAATTCATTTCCAGACTCTGAATCTCTACAACAGAACATCCTCAGCCATCCAGGGTCCTTAGAGTCAAGGGAGAAAAATGGGCACCTCTGGGGTAGCCCCCTTATGCATCTCCCAGGAGACTCTGGGCACAGGGCCTGGAAGAGTCAGTTCCCCTCTGGGTGTAAAGAGAGGCCAGAGGAAGAGCACCAATGTGGGTGTCAGAGGGGACCTGAGGGTCAGAGGGACCACCTAAGCCACATACACCCAGTACCCACCATCCCACCCTGCTCTGCTCTCCTGGCTGACCAATATGCCAAAGCCAAAACCACCCTCATACCACTGCTCTGTGATTGGAATCTGGCTTGTGAAGCTCTTGCTGCACTTGTGAAGCCTGTCAGACAGCAACACGACTGCTGTTTTGGACCGAACTTGCAAGTGTGATTTCTAACGGTGTCTTTAGTCTACATGGCTACTGAATTTCAAAGCAGCTGTCCCCTCACTTCAATTTTCCCCAAAGGAAGCACATGCATCACTTTCACAGCCTCCATCCCCCTGGCAGATAGGACATCACCAGCATTTGTTATTAGAGCATTTCCCATTCTGTCCTCACTTCTGATGCTCAGGACAAGACCTTTTACCAAGGGTCCCCATGGAAATTCCTGGTAACATTTCCAACTTAAATGATTCTGTGATTTTCAAGAGCTGTCATCACTCCCCAGGAGAGGATAAGAGGTCCATGGCATTACCTGTCAGGCTGCCCTTTCCTTTCCACCTGGCCATGGGTGATTAATGGGCAAGGAAACCTCCTTAGGAGCTCCTCAGCCAACATCAGCTATTGCAAAGCAGTGTCCAGTGGTCCAAGTTGAGATCCATTTGTGTTTCATCTTTCTGCAAGATTCCTCTGGCTTTCAGGGTGGTGATGCCATGGCTATCAGAAAATCAGACTGGAAACTTTTCTTCTGGTGAAGACAGCACAGGACACTGGTGTCCAGGCTCCCTGTTAGAGCTTGTACCTGCCCCTTGCACAGGGGGTTTTTGCCATTGCTTACCTTGGAGGTGAACATCACCTGGAGAAGATCACTCAAGTCCCACCTTTGCTAAATCCTAGCTGATGAAGTGACCTGTGGATCAGGGCCCTGGGGGTGCTGTGGGGGCCATAGCCCCCCTGGCCACTGCCCTGCCCCTTCACATGGACACGTGTGTCTCTGCATCCATCACCCACATGTCCCACTGTGGGGCCCCAGTAGCCACAGGAATGTTCTCCTCTCCACTCTCTTTTAAACCCCTTCTCCTCTCCATCATCTCCATCTGGCAGCTCTGCTGGCACACACAGAACAAACCACCTTCTTTCTCACATTAAAATCCCTTTCTTAATGATCTGCCCATTCCCCAGAACTCAGCCCAGGTTTCCCCTCTGCTCTGCCCCCACCATCCCTCTGGAGTTCTGCACACAGCATCTCCCTGAAAATATCCTTCCTGTGGCCCTGGCTGCCCTTGCAAATTCCAGGCAGACTCCAGTGCTGACCCCTTAGGCTCTCCAGAGGCCTCTTTCCTCCTTGGATGGTTGGGTTGGTGGTTTTTCCCACATAACTAGATGCAAAATCAGTACTTGCTGTGGCTTCAGCTCCTCAGTCTGTTGCACTGCCAGCAAAATCCTCTGGCTGGATTTCAAGCAGAGCTCAGGTGGGTGCTCTGACAGGAGCAGGATTTGCTGTGCTCCAAGCACTCCTGTTCATGCTGCCCAAACTCTTGTCAGAAGAGCTGTGTGATTTTTACTTGGCATCAGTGCACAGATAACTTATTTCTGCACCGAGCATCCAGCAAATCCCCTCAGCCATTAATCAAATGGTTTAAGCTGGATCCTGGTTTTGCTCCCTCTGTTTTTATGCACATTCAGATACAGTTCCCTATGATTATATACAAAAGGAAGCAATCATGTCCTGCGTCATACCCAACCTGTGAAAGCTGTTTATGGAAAACCCTGGGTTGCAGCCACCTCTGGGGCACAGCACTGGGTCCATCACCAGCCCCCCCTGTCAGCCCACAGGCCAGCAGGGGCACAGCTGGGGTTTCATCCTCCAGCTGTCTCTTACACAGCTCACTTTAAGGAGCTGCTGGTGTGAAATCAGAGGGAAGCACTCAACAAACCATACCTGGAAGCCCTGGGAAACTGCTTTACAGTTTACAAACTCAGTGCCTTTGCTCCTAAGGACGCTGCTCTCCTTAATGATGCTCAGAGATTTCAGAAGGTAACGACAAGCTCAAAGAAACTTGCAGTGTAACAGAAAAGAGAACAAGTTGTTTCCAGGAGCTGGAGAGCCTGTCATCCAGCTGCATCAGGATTAATGGCCTCAGCCACTCATCCTAATGATGCTGAAGTACAGTGTGTATGGCAGGGCCACTCCACGGCACCACGGGGGGAGCAGCACAGCTCTGGAAGGAAAGCTCCACTGACCTGCACCTTCGGGTACTGCCTTGTGGTATCTGGAGACCTCCCTGCCCAACACCCTGCCCGAGGCTCAGGCAGCAGCCAGAGACCCTGGGAGAGCAGGCAAAGGGCTTTTGCAGGAGTCAGGACTTGCTTTCGACCTTTCTGTGCTGGAGCAAAAAGGGAGAAAAAGCTGAACTGGAAAGACTTAAAAGTTCATAAAGAAATGTGTCCTCAGGGTTGTTTCTTTCCCCTCTGCCACTGAATCGTCTCTCCTGGGGAACAGAAGTTCCTGTGCAAGTCAGGCAGTGAGAAACTAAGTTGGAATAACAAGGACTTAAAGACAGGCTGAAGCTTTTCAGGCTGTTTAGATATCAGGTCCTGCTCATTGAAAACCATGACAGAAGTGGTGACTTTAGGAACTTGAGCCAGACTCCCAGATTCAGCCCTTCCCTTTAAAACAGCCCATCTCTCTGCCTCTGCAGAGTTTGAAACTGAATTGGGATGGTCTCCTGCAAATGGCCAGGGGGCAGACATGAGTGTCCCATGCCCAGATGCTGACCTGTCCAAGGAGATGGGGCAAGAGATTGTCTATGTGGACAGAGAAAGAAAAGGTATGGGGGCAGAGGCAGAAGGTGGGAGAAGGAGAGGGGGAGCAACCAGGCAGCTGAATCACAGTCGCTGAGAGGCAAACACACCACCTTGACACCGAGGGTGTCCTCTCCCTTTGCTCTTCTAAACCTGGGGTCACCTGCCCAGGACTGTCTAGGAGACAAGTCCTGCTGGCACAACGTGTCCCAGCACTCCCCTCCTCGGGGAGGCAATCAATAAATAATTAATTATCCAGCAACCACCCCTGCAGGCCCTGCTGGAGCCCTGTCCTGCTCTGCTGACCTCAGCCGAAGCAGGGAGAGCCCCTCTGTGCTGCCAGACCCCAGCTGGGCTTGCAGGAGGCTTCTGTGCAGCAAAACAACCCTCTCCACTCCCTCCACAAAGGGAAGCAAAACACTGGGCCACCCTGGCACCCCCTGCCAGAACACCCCTCCAAGCACTGAGCCCGTCAGCCCGGCCTGCAGCCCAATGTGCCCCAGCCCAATGGGGAGCCCCTACCTGCTTTCGGGAGCTCAGGGCTCCCTTGTTGCCCCGGCAGGAGAACTTGAGGGAGCCACCCTGGTGCACGGAGCCCAGGCAGGAGTGCTGGGGGGTGGCAGGCAAGGGGCTCAAGAAGAGGATGCGGGCAATGAGGCTGTAGAGGACAGTTGCCAGCCCCAGCGGGATGACGTAGAAGATGGCAAAATCCAAGAAGTAAATGGGCATGTAAAGGCTTCTGGAGACCCGGTAGCCGCAGGTGACCTGTGCCCCGTCTGAGAAGGTGACTTGGGTGGTGTCCACGAGGAAGAACCACATGAGGCAATAGAGGGAGGTGAAGATCCAGAGCGAGGAGATGATGCGCTTGGCGCGGGACACGGTGCAGAGGAGCTGTGCCTTGATGGCGTGGCAGATGGCGATGTACCGCTCCACCGTGAAGGCAGCGATGGACCAGGCGGAGGTGTTGATGCCCAGGTACTGCAGGTAGGTGATGCAGAGGCAGCCGGCGTA